CTCAGAATCAATAAAGCATCATTACAAAGCCTGTCTGCGGGGCCGCCTGTCGGCTCTGGCCCCGCCCTGGAACTGAGGCCGCCTGCTAGAGATCCTCAGACTCCTCAGGACTGCACGTCTGCTGTGATCTGCCGCTCCGAGACCGGAAATAAACACTGGGCTGCGTGCAGAGTCAAAGTGCCTAGCTCCAGCCACGGGTTGCCCTGCACGGGTGGCTGGAGCTGCCGAGGGTGACCCTGGCGATCTAGCAGGCTCTCTCCAGACACTAGGAACTAGGCTGTCACAAGCCTGCCTTTGTCCTCTTGATGCTGCTCCCTTGGCTCTTCTTGGCACCGATTCTTCACTTGCCGGGGGGGCTGCCCTGGGAGCCCACCTCCGAAGCACACACGCCTCTATCCCTCGGGTGAAGGGCCCACGCTCAGCAGCTGGGGCAGCAGCAGGCAGACGGCCTCTTATCCGATCCAGCCCTAATGGAGAACAAAGGTACGCTCGGCCAAGTGAGAGAGCCTTCTCCGTACCTCCTGGCATCCGGAAAGCTCTCCCTATGCTTCTCGATCTCCTTTGAAATCTCAGCCAGAAGCACCTCCTGTCCCCTTGCTTCACTGCGTCTTAACCTCTCCCTTCCCTTGCTGCTGTTCCTCTGTGTGGTTGTATTACTTAGTGCACCTGTGTTTTGGGATGCAGCGCCCACAGGCGTGGTGTGTTCCATGCAGCCCCTGGGTAAGACTTTGCTGTGATTCATAGAATATCAGGGTTGGAAGGGACCTCAGGAGGTCATCTAGTCCAACCCCCTGCTCAAAGCAGGACCAATCCCCAACTAAATCAACGTTATGGCCCTGCCAAATGAAGCACAAACTTAAGTACATCACCTCCCTGATCTGATCTGCGGAGGCTGGAAGCTGATTTCCAGTGTGAGGCTGAGCTGGGAGCTCAGTTACACATTTCACTAATCAAATCACTGTCATGGGTCATTTCAGATACTGATGGTTTTGCTCTGTGCTAAGAACCAGGCTATCATAAACTCCTCGGTGCTGCATTGTCTTACTAATTATGAACACATAAATGTCTCCTTAGGTAAATAACTCACCATAAATAGAGGTGGACTCGCAGATGGGTGGCTTACATGGCTTCAGTCATGTACTCTGTGATGGGAAAGCCACAGGGCTGTTTTCATGTGCACAAGCCAAAGCAGTGTGAAGAATCAGGCTCTGTTCTGTCGGATTACACACGGCTTCTGTGCCTGTGGGATCCAGAGCAAACCATGCTCTCTCTCGCAATGCCGCCTGCAAGAGGGCGGGGTCAGTGTTCATGGCAACTCAGTCCTTGATTCCTCTACTGTGACTGCAACTCTGCAAGTGAGAGCTGGGGCTCAGCTGGTGCCAACTGGCAACTTGGGAACCCTCCCCGCTGCGTAGGGGACCATCAGACTCATTTTACATCCGTCACCAGTCGTAAAGAATGAGCTTTGGCTTGTACCAGGGAGGGCTGGATCTAGACAGGTGTCTGGAGATACAATGCACCGTCTCCCATCACTGAGTGCCTGAGCCATCCAGCCCCTCAGGTCTGGCTTGTTAGGCTCCTCCTCCATCACAGAGTCTAATCAAAGGGACCTCTTTCTGCCGGACTGCGGGTGTGAGAGAACCAGGACGAGAACCTGCCTGCTGCAACCATGACAGACAGTCTTTTTCACCATTCTACTATAGTTCATTGATTAATCAGCAGCAGCACAAAAGGGGCAAAGCAGCTGTGAACCTGGTGGGGAAAGGCACTGCCAATGGCTTCAGAAGCTTTGTACCAGCCCATTGTAAAGGAGAACAGTGCAACCAAGAGACTGCCTAGCAGTTCCCTATCTTTTCAAGCAGCTGTACCAACTTACCAGGCTAATAGCTCAGCTGGACCAGCCAGGGACCCTCCCCCCCAGTTCAGAATGGGCTGCCCCAAAATCCCAGCCTCACAACTGGAAGCATGATCGATAAGAGCATGCTGCCTTTGCTGCGTGTCCGTGTACCCCTGCGGGGAGGCGTGCTCCCAGCTGCAGTGTAGACACAGAGGCTCATCGGTAAGGGCTTGATTTTGATACCCTAAATCAGGTTCAAGAGGGCCTTACCCTGTGAGAAGCCTCATTGAGCTCAATGGAGAGAGATGGGTGCCCCACAAGTATCTGAAACCCTTTAGATGCTGGGAGTACCAGTGAGAAATGGCTGAAGCATCTGTCCAGGTCCGAGGACCAAGGGATGGGAATTGGTGGGCTTGGAGAGGGCACTGTCCAAGTAAAACACAGGAGCAAAAAATGTTGTTTCATTAAGGGTGGGATCTTTCCAAATCCCAGGGATTTTTCCTGCTCATAATGTCTGTTCTCAATGGCACTTCTGGGGCTAGAAGTTCAAAATCAATTTCAAATTGGGCCCCAAAATTTAATAAAAATACTTTTTTATGTTTAATGCACTAAGAAATGAAAATGTTTCCATGAACTAAACCAACTAGAACAGTTGTTTCTAAACAAATGAATGGTTAGCTGCTACCTTGACAACGCAGTGCTGAGAAGCTGTCCGGGAAAGTTACAGTCAGCAATGGTGCAAAGTTCCCATGGTTTGCATTTCTCTCAGTTTAGACAATCACTATCTAAAGGCTGCCAAGTAATTTTTGATAGTACATTCGCTTTTAATATTCTAAAACGAGGCAAAGCAATGTATCTGTTACCAGCATGTGATTTCTAAGCAGATGGCGCCCCTTATAATTCAGAAGCTTGATTTCAACTGAAAGGGAATTAATCAGATGTATTTCTACTGGACAAAGTACACTCACCAGGGAAGTTCAATAACCTTTGATTCGGCCCAGCAAGGTGATGGGGGTTTAACAGGAGCTGATAGTGTGAGGTTTGCAGTGGAACCCAAATAAACTTTTTTCCCTTTGTGGGTACACATCTCAAGTGAGGGTCTTCTGCCCTCCTAGGCAAAGTGCTTGACTGTAACAATTATGGCCAAATGCTAGCAAAATATCCTGATTGGGATGAAGAGGTGACCTGATCATTCTCTATCTGTGATTCTCATTGGCTTTATTCATCTTTAGAAGGGAGTGTGATTGTGACAGGTGTAATGGGTCCAAATTTATAGCAGCAGCATTTTGAAAATAAGATTTTAGTAGAGCGATAAGAAAACTGCCCCACATTGTGTTCCTATCCTTATAATAAAAATAAACAGGGGCAATAAATAACCAGCATCGCCATGGGAGGGGAGATGGGACTTTTTCACCATTCTACTATATTTCATTGATTATTTAGCAGCAGCACAAAGTTCTTGGCTGCCTGGAGGGGACAGTTATAAGTGTGTTACTGTTTTATTAAAAAAAAAAAAAAAAGCCGCGCTCTACGTAATGCACACAAACCTGGCTTTGGCATGAAAGGGTGTCTCCTCCACACTGACTTCTGTTTAATCTCCTTTGAATAGCTCTCTGATAAATGATTGCCACGCCGGCTCCTGGCACGGTGATATTTGCAGAAGTGGGGAAAACTCCACTTTAAATGCAACAACTTTTGCAATGTCGTTTGTTAGCATTTGAAGCTCTTTACCCACAAGCACTGCATGGGGATGTAGACAGGTGAGATCTTTCCACTAGTTGAAATGGACCTGCCTGGGTCAAAGGAGGGAAAGCAGACACTGAACTAATGCCGTGGAGGAATGGCTTCATACGACCCAGCCAGAGTATTGTTTGTACTGGATAAAATGCTTTACTCTCGGCATTGGTACTGTACACTGAGACAGTAACTCCGCATCAGAGGTCAGCAACAGGGCAGACTGGCTGTGCGTTGGGTTCTGGGAAGGGTTGAGCACTGTGGGCTGGAGCCAGCTGCATTGCAAACGCTCCCCAGTCTCGCAGCTCGCTCCTTGGAAGCAGGTAGATTTTGGGCTCCATCTAACAGAGCAATAAATCATGCAACAGAGAGGGTTAAGTGACTTGCCTGAGACCTCTCAATGGTAGAACTGGGAACAGAACACAGGAGTCCGGACTCCCAGTTCCCCTTGCTCTGACCACTGATGGCAACAATGCATGTGCTTAAGGACTTGGCTGACTATGGATGGACTTGAGCATGTAAGTAGTACTAAGCATGTCTGATATGTTTTGCCAAATCTGTGCCTGGGAGTTGCAGGCCGTTTGTTATGCCACTTGGCCCTGTCAAAGGCAGCACTTACCACTAGGGGGCGATGTTTCCATAGATGCCAAGGGTTAGCAAGCAGCGGTCCCGTGGGGCAGAAAGGACTGGGAAGTACCTGCATTTCTAGGCACGGATGGGAATTGACTCTGGGTGCACCCCACCTGCCCCTCTCGCTGGATTGCGAAGCTGGAATGCCTCAGCCAGCTGCTGGGAGCAGGGAAAACTCCACAGGCGTCTGCGAACGCACTGTCTGGGGAAGCGCCTCCCAGTTGAAATTAAGGGAGGTCAAGACAGAGAGGTTGTTCCCACTGGTGGAAGGGGCTGGGTGGGGGTGGTTCAAAACCTGTCTGATGTTCTTCATTTCCTTAATAGCAGTGGAAGCATTTCATGGGCAATTGGAGCAAAGCACTAGCGCGGCGGTAACGAGCGGCGAGAGACAGCTGCAGGTAAAGGCTCTTTGTGGGGTTTGTGTTTTTTGTTTCAGCATGAATTTATTTCTGGAGGGAGGGTGCCAGAGAAATGATCCTGGAGACCAAGCGCTCCGCAGATCCACAGAGCGGGGAAGGCCCCCTGGAGGATGAGCTGGAAGATGAGGGGGTTCGGTCCCGATGGGCCACGTGATCATTGGTAGAGGGTAAAGATTTTAGGCCCTGATCAACCTGCTCTAGATTGGAAATGATGCCCTACAGGTGAAAAGTCTTGTCCTCCCGTCCCTCTGACCTGGATATAGAGCCCAAGAGACGGACACTCAGTAGCCCATCCCCTGCCCCTGTGAGCCGAGCCAGATCCCACCAGCATTGAATGTATCTGCATCTCTGATGTTAGCTTTGCCATGCCCCCACTACCATTACTGGGCGCTCCAGACCACCCACAGGGAGCAGAGTGTGACTGCATACACCCCCAGGGTCAGGACGTACACCCAGAACAGCAGTCTATCCAGCCTGTAGGACAGCGTGAGCCAGTTGACTTCTAGTCTGCTGGCCCAGTCTAGTGCACGGAGCTGGGAGCTGATCAGGAGGAGCTCTGCCAGGATCTTCTCCATTGGGGCCTTCCGGGCGCTCGTCACCTTCCAAGGCCCCTCTCCTTTCCCTTCCTCCGCTTCCCCCCGCAACAAGAGACCTGCAATGACAGCAAAGCATGTTCAGCAAGGCAGCAGTTCAGGGGGCTGTATGTGCACAGAGTGCACCGAAAACCCAGCCTTTCTTGTACCTGCAATGTCACCATCTGCTTGCAGCCTGGGAGCCTGGGGTCTCTCGCCGGGGCCTCCTCCAACTATGGCGCTGCTCACCCAGCAGCCGGAGAAGAGCCTTTTCCGCACAGGGTCTTCCCCCAGATGAAGGAACTTTACTAGCAGGATAGACTTGGACAGGCTGAGAACCAAGAGGGCCATGCAAACCGTGAAGAACACCCCTGAGGCAATGAGGAAAGAGAAAGGAACGTTACTGAGTGGGACAGGCAACCAGGACACCAAACTGCAATGGCTGAAATAGTCTCTAAGGGTGTGTCTACACTGCAGTCATGGGGTGTGACTGCAGAGCATGTAGACGTACCCAAGCTAGGTTTGATCTAGCTAGGGCAAAGCTAACTTGAGTAGCAACAGTAAGGAAACCATGGTGGCAACATGGGCTAGCCACTCAAGCATGTCCCTAGGGCCCTGGGTGTGCGGGGCTAGCCACAACTTCACAGCTAGGTGAAAGCTAGCTTAGGTACGTCTACACGTGTTGCAATTGCAGCTCCTGATTACAGTGCAGACATATCCTAAGGCTCTGCCCACACTGGGGCTTCGAAGTGTTTTCAAACCATTTTCAAACCCTCTTACCGCAGCCATGCAAGCTGTGCATCCACTGTGTTAAAAACATTACTACCCTCCATAAGCCTGGTTTCAACTAGCACAGTGGTTGAGAAATACAAACCCAGTCCACTCTGGGCTGAAAATCTGACACAACCATGCTGCTGAGCGCCTCGCCGAGCCATGCAGGATGATTTGTTTGGGTGAGGCCAGGAGGGTTTGCAGTGCCCACAGGGTGTCAGCGGCACTGTAGTTCTTTTCCCAGAGGTTTGTTTGCCGGAGGATGCACACGTCAAATCAGGGTTAGCAACAGGTGCTTTAAAGGAGAAGAATAGTACTGGCACCAATGACTGGCTGCCCAAGAGAGGCCCCACCTGGTCAGAGTAAGACACCTACTCAGCAGGGAAGAGCTGCATGAATGTCCGTCAACATTTCCCTGCAGTGAGAATGATTAGACCACGGAACTTTCCCCCCAAGGCAGATGTCCCATTACTGCCCAAGTCTGCCCATTTTAAAGCTAGTCTGGAGAATGAATCTGGGCTGGATAGGATAAACTCATGGGTCTTCACCGTCTCTGACCTCTAGTGTTTGCAGATTTACATGCTCCCTTAGAATAGAGTCCCTACCATAACAGCCCAGCCCGTCCAAGATGCACTGGCCAAACCCAACTCACCAATGAGGGGAGTGCTGACCGCAGTGCCTGGCAGCTTGTCTGACATGTTGACTTTGAAGACGGTATAGCCAACCAGCACGCTGGTCTTGAAGGTTATCCTGGTGCCACAGTTGGGTGGCAGGTAGAAGCTGGCCAGGTCAATGACCATCAGGAATAGACTGGGGATCAGCAAACTGACCACATATAGCAGGGGGCGTCTTCGGATAACAACCTGGGGTGGAGAAGAGAAGTCAGCGCCAATTCTAAGAGTGACCTGAAAACAACGGGGCTTTGGATTTTTAGCATCTTAAGATGCAGAGACCTGTCGCGTAAGAGCACTGAGAGATGTGGGGGCTCCTCCATGCCACTCACCTAAGTGGTGCAGGGTGGGCCAGGAGCGAGGGATTGTTACATTGGCCAGAACTTTTGTGAATTCACCACCAGCTTGAATTTTCTCCCCACAAACCTGGAACATTTTTGAGGTTGGCAAGAGTTTGGGGAACTCTTATTCATATATCTCTCCACATGATCCCTTTGCCTCTGGGCTTTGCAGATTCAGACAGAAGCAGACATCCCCAAACACCAAGAGTGGTTGCTTTTGCTGTATTTGTGATCCAAGTAATGAGATGAACCCACCTGCCGCCTCCCTGCCATTCATCTTGGGGACAGCTGTGCAAACCTTCCTGCTGCAAAACCTGTAGCCATGAGAATTCACCTAGTTTGGGCTTCAAATGGGGAAACACAATCAGCTGTGTTTCATGCAACCGTTTTTAGGGCCTGCAAACCTTTAACGAAAACTTGAAGCCAAACATTTTGCTGTCTCTCACTGGGCATGACATTTTTGAGACTCCAGTTTGTAACTGGGTCTTTCATGAGATTTCTAGGTGCTGGAGTGATAAGTTCTGGGTCCAGTGAACTTTTCCAAATCTATCTGCATTGCAGAGTTTAACCCAACTTGTTGGGTTTGGTTTGAGTCTTACCATCGCCAAAATGGATCGGAAGGAACCCGAAACTTTTAAATCAAAACCCTTGGGTGTCAAAGCACGTGATGAGAAAACGATTCCCACTAAAAAACTGTTGCAAGGCAGAGAACAGTTTTTAGTGAGAATTGGTTCCACTCAGAGTGTCAGAATGAAAATCATGAGGGAAGAAATTTAGCCTAGGTAGCCTGTTCCCCCTGTCTGCTTCTGAGAGTCTGAGTTTATTGAGCAGTACTGATCTCATTGCATCTTGGATGTCTCTCTCTGGCCATTGGTACCATGCGCCTCACCGTGGTGCTCTTGAAGAGCAAAGCATTGGCCCAGTGTGTCATGTTGCCATGTGGAGGTCATAGTCTGGATCTCACCCTTTCCGGCGGGGTGAAGGAGAAGGGGGAGCCTTGCATGAGTTCCATGAGAGAAGCAGCTGTAATTGGCTGGGGTCCTGCACCCAGGTTCACCCACAGCACAATACAACAGATTTCTACCAAGTTCACTGCCCTGGGTCTGGTAGCCAGATACCAGGGCAGATTTAGCTAGTCAGTGGAGCCCCCAGCCAGATGTGGGACGTGCTGTGGCTGCATCCTGTGTGCTACCTGAGCCAAGGCTCAGAGCAGGAGCCAGGTTGTGCATAGACCCCAGTTCTTCTAACTGAGCCACCAGGAGTCAGCTGGGGTTACCTCCTCCTGGCTAGGCGGGTAGGACCCACGCTGAGCTGGCCTCAGCTGGGAGTCGCTCTCTGCAGATCTTAAACCAGCCAAATCCCATCCTCTCTAATAAGCTAAGAAGTTGATGCCTTTAAATTCTCCAGCAAAGGGAGGAAAGCACTTTAGTTTCAGTCGTGTTCTCCATTAGACACCCTTCAGGTGTTAGCAATATTATGCCACAATTTCATTATCCATTAAAGCCAGGTAATAATAAGTACACAAAGGTATTTGCAGCCCATTGATGTTAATGAAGGAGATCAATCTCATTCCGAGCATGTACAGCAGCCGCACATTGGAGATGGAATATTACCCAAGGTTAGGCATGAATTGTCTCCTTGATAGCAGACCCCACCAGCACTTAATTTTGCATGACTGTCTTTATGGCACAGACAGCGTTTGACACCCAGACACAGGTTTGCCGCTAAGTTTGCTACATTCTCTCCCCCCACCTCTGTGATTTCTCTTGCAGACGGGAAGGTTGCAATGTTTTCCTCTCACCTGGGCTACCAGGGCAGTAAGGAGTCAAAGGTGACTCTGGCTGGAAAGCTGGTCAGGTAGCGCAGGGCTGATTTGTGCTGTTTTCAGATGAGACCTGCTCAGTGCCCAGGGTCAATGCCCAGGGGACTCCTGTGTGAGTGACGCTGGGCACAACTCCCTTCGCCTGCTCTTGGGGGGATGGGAGGGCAATACCCAGGGTGCCCCTACCCGTCAGTTCAGTGCTGCCCCTCAACCCCCAGATTCCTAGGGCATACCCCTGAATCTCTGTGTCACTGTAGTCCACTTATTTTCCTGCTGTCCGGGACCCCGGTGTCTGTTTCTGCTCCAGCCCAGGCTCAGAGGAATGTGTCCTGCTGTGGCCGCTGGAATGGGTCCCAGGCTCAGAACTGACATCCTTGTCATAGCCATTGTCTTCACGTGGGGTCCCCCTGCTCACTGCTGAAAGCAGCCCCGGCTTCCAAACATTGCCTGAGCCTTGCGACGTGCCTGGCATGTCCCTGGGGCAAGTGCCAAGGGGACGGGTTTGCTGGGACCGAACAAGGCAGCAGTGAGTCTGTACTGTAGGTACAGGGGCAGGAAAGAGGGCTGCTGGGGTGGGGACTGCTTACATAGAGGGGATCTGAAGGTAACTGGGTAACTTAAGAACAGATGGCTCAGCGCTAACGCAATGTAACATTCACCCCGCCAGGACAGGCGCTGGATTTCCATGGGGCAAACCACACCCCAGAGTCTCAGCACCAGTGAGAGAGTCTGAGCCACCGGAGAGGCTACCGCTGCCACTGCTGCTCAAGGTAATACTGCCTGCTCCCCCACTGTGCCAGCTTGCAGATCTGGTACTAGGGGCATTGGAGGAAGATGCTAATGATTTTTTGCAGGAATGTAAATATATAAAAAATGTTAAATTCCCCCTGGAACATTTTCAGTTTTTCAACAAAAACTTAGAACCAGAAACTAAAATGCTTTGGGATTTGAATTAAAAAACTGAAATCTTGTTCCTGAAAATGGTTTGGTTTTTATGAAAACCTGGAAAATTTTAATAGAAAACATGGAAAATTTCAACTAAAAGTTTGAAAAAGCCACTTTCTGTCAAAAATAAAAAATGTTACAAGAAAAACTGGCCCTTTCCTAGTTACTAGGCCAGTCTGGGGCGTCCCCTGACTGGCGAGCGGCACTGAACAGTCGGGTAAGGGGGTTCTGTGAGTGCATTAAGGTCAGCCATGCTGGGCCTGATTCTCCTCTCGGAGACACTTGGGTAAATTGCAAGTGACTCCACTGAAGTCAGCTAGAATATCCTCCAGCCCAAACCTTGGCCCTAAACTCAGTCACTGTTAGTAGGATCTTTGTGCGAGGTCCGATTAACCGCCAGGTTCCTGCTTTGCCTCTGCGCTCCCCTTGGTGTATGAAAGGCAGGAAGAGAGGCTGAGCTTGTGGTGCTTAGCAAGGGGGACCTGCTGGGAAACTGGGGAGGCCTGGGCAGCAGTTGGGGAGCTGTCCAGCCTGCTGCCTGGGGCCCAGGGGGTCTGATAAGTTTCTGAGAGGCCTCGGGGTTCTCGAAGCCCTGAGTGTTGAGTTTGCTGCTTCCACCGAACGGGTGTGTGTTTCAGATCTGCAGCCCACCCTGCAGTTGCTTCTCTTAGTGTTTTTCCCTTTAAATGCTCTTCATTATTCGCTCTGGCATTAATAATGTTCGCAGGCTGCTATCTTTAAAATTAATGAGGTGTTTAACTCTTAGTCAAGAAGCTCATCAAAACAAAAACACATTTTCGTCCTCCAGCAAGCGGTGTGGACAAATTAGCTGCTTCCCCTCCACACTCCAGCCTTCTCCGGCAAGGAGACGGGAGCCACAGGCTATCTCCTCAATGCTGCTGCTTGGAACGTAGGTACTGCTGTCAGTCGATTTCATGAGCGATGCAAGTGTCCATGCTGGTGTGACAGAGGGATGCCTGGGGCAGAGCACCTGCAGCAGCCCTGTTCAGCGCCTGCAGTGTCCGCTCTATCCGTGTACTACACAGTTACCACCTTAGCATCTGGAGCCCTAAGTCCGTGTGTATAGGTGTGAAGATCCGCAGGCCTGAAGCAGGGTCTGCTGGTTCCTGGGTGGCTGCTGTGTCCACATGGCCACTCAACAGCTCTGGCAACGCAGGGAACAGCAGCCTATGCACTCTACAGGTTCAAGCACCCCGGCTGTCCCACCCACGGAGGTCCTGGCTGGAGGAGTCTACGGAGTGCCCTGACTGGCTCGGGCATGCTATTTAAGGGACAGGGGAATCACCTGGAGTCTGTCTGTGCAGTCCTGATACCATACCTTGCACCTAGTTCCTGACTCCAGCTCTGCCCCTGGCCCCGCTCCTGGTCCTGGTTCCTGGTCCCCTGTGTTCTGCTCCTAACTTTGCACTCTGCCAACCCTACTTTGGCTGGCCTGTTGGCCCTGGCCCAGTATGGTTCATTGATCTCGACTCTGATCAGACCCTGTGGCGTGACGTGGTACAGAGTGCTGCTTCTAGCCTGGACCATCTAGACCGAGGTAGTCAATTATTCTTTGTCAAGGTCCAAATTTGTTGGTCACGGTATAGTCAAGGTCCGGAATTGAGAGAAACGTTTTTCACCCCGCAATAACGATGATGATGATAAGTAAATAACAAGATTTTGCAGTCCGTTCAAAAGCATGTGAACTTGGACTAGGTTCTCGATTCCACTCAGACCTATGCCCCCTTGGCTGGGGATCCTGGCAGTAGGTCACTGTATGGTAGCCATCGCTGTACCGGGATCAGGTGCGAGCTCAGAGCTACCATACCTCAGCATTGGTCTAAATTTCACTTTCTCTTCGCTGGCGTGTTCGACGACCAGGTCTGAGCTCCTCTTTTCAGGCTGCATCTGTTACTTTTCTGTCTTGGAGTTGTCCCCACCCTGCCTGACGGACGGGGAGCCTGGGCGAATGCTAATGCTGTCTCGCTTTGGAGGTTGATCTCCAGGAGCCCATAGAGAGAGAGCCCTGCCTCTTGTGTTGGATCATGTGGTATCCAACCAGGGATGTTCCCAGCATCCAGCTGGTTGTGCCCCTCTTGTCTACCTCATCCTCAGTGCTGGTACTGGGGCATTTTACAGAATGACCTGCTTTCTCCCTCGCTACCACCCTCATCTTGGCTTGTCCTCCATGTTGCAGCCGCCCACTTCCCAGTGGATCACAACCCATCGATAGCCAGGAATTGCAGCATGTCGCGTGTTAGTGAGAATGTGAAGCGCAGCAGAGCCCGTGTGCTCGTGATGGATTCAATGACTCTGAAGCCCAGCGCAAATCACTGAGCGGAAGAGAAGAAAAGGAGGGAAAGTGGAAGGTGCCAAATGGAAAGATGTCCGTGCATTAGAGGCAAAGGAGAAATAGCTGATACCTACGTTAAACTGAATCTGGGCGAAGCGTCCGGTCTCCATGTGCAGGACCCGGGGATGTGAGGGCACAGAGAGCAGCTCCCACTCACCGTCATCCAGAAACAACGTCTTGTCATTCTTAATGTCCTCACGGCTTCTCCAGAAGGTGAGGTCCACATCCTCCACTGAGAATGACACAAACAAAGGGCTGGGACTCAGGGGAAGGGAGTCCTGTGAACGCGGGATGGTCTCACCCCATTTCTTCCACGAGCTGCCAGTGGCCACAGGGCTGGGGAAAGAGCTTCACTGGCCTTCTCTATGGCCCCTGCAAATGGTACGAGCCCCATCAACTCGGACACTTCCTGTACTGACTGGAGCCCTAGGAGACCCATTGCTATATCCCTCGATTGGCTTTTCCATCCCTCCGTGCCGTGGGATCTTGACTGTGGCCATTGTAGATGCAGTTGGTCACTTTTCAGCCTGGGTGATCTCTATGGGAGCCAGTGTAAAGGCCGAGTCAGACTTACAACCTCCAGCGTGAGATGGAACTGGCTACCTTGCTGCTATAGAGCTCGCCTGCTGACTTACGAACTGCCTGGCATTGATGCTGGCACCAGACCAGCACCGCGTTCCAAAGGGAGCCCTCAGTGGGGCACCTACCCTGGGCAGCGCTGAGCTAGGTCCTGCAACACATGCTAGTCATGTTCCTCTTCACACTCCCCAGCTGAGATTCCCAAGCCTGGGCTGAGTCCTGTCGTGCTCACCTGTGTGCAGGATGCTGCTGAAGGTCAGGCTGCAGTTCTGGGTGTCGAAGGGAAAGGCGTAGGCCTCCAAACTGCACGCGGACACCACCTGCATGGGCTTGTAGTTCTTGATCATCCCAGCAGCATTCACGTAAACGTAGGGGAGATCGGGGGACCTGCTGACATCCACGCTGTACAGAACAGGAGGGTTTGTTGCACAGGGAGGGTGGGGGAAAGAGACCTGACTAGTTCATTGCACAGGATACAGGCAGTGAGGTTTTTTTAATGTCCACGCTCAGGATTCCAAGCTCTCATGTGACACTATAGGTGTAAGGGTGGTCCAGTGGCCAGGGCATTAGTCTGGGACTTAGTAGACCCTAGGTTCAATTCCCTGCTCACCCTGTGTGACCTCTGGAAGTTTCTCTGCCCCTCAGTTCTCCATCTGTAGAATGGACTTAAAAGCAGCACCCTGCCTCGCTCCCACAGGTTCTGCGGGAATGAAGCCATTAAGATGGTGAGGTGCCCAGGCACTACAGTTGTGGGGACCAGGTTAAGTATCAGACAGAGAGTGCCTGTGGCACTCAATTTACGAGGCTCAGAAGGATGAAGCGCCAAGCTGACCCTGCTGTGTTTGGAATCTCTTGCTCCACAGAAGCTAAGTGTCTCACACCTGCGACTCAGACTGTTAATCCATCCCCTGCAAAGCCTTCAAACAGCTCGTCTAGAGCCGTTAGAAACAAGATTTTTTTTCCTCTCCCCCCTGCACCCCCCCCCCGATGGAGCCTTTTGTTCTTGCTGTGGGCAGAGGCAGAGCTTGCACTGATCAGCCAAAAAGAAGCCCTGAACCCACCGCAACCTACTGCGTGCAGTAAAACTCTGGCCCGATCCAAACTCACAATTCGTTGATGACGATATCCGGAGACCAGAGGGTGCTGAGTGGCAGGGAAATCTCCCTGATCCCATCATAGAGGCTGGAATTCCAGGTGAGAAACTCATCCTTCCACATCTGTGGGAGGGAGAATGGAGAGTGTGACTGCCCGGGTGGTTTCCCATATTGTGACTTGGCAGGGCCGGTTAACCGAGGTGCCACAGTGAGTTCAAACCACTGACTTCCCGATTTAGGGGATGGTAGGTACAGAAAATATCCCTGCATTGGGAATGTGATAATCGCTTGATCCCCTGTGCTAATGGCCAAGAAAGAGCGGCTCAGGTAGCAGTGAGTCCTACTCTGCTTCCTACAGGATAGATTTTTACGGGTGTGTAAAGTGGATATTCTCATCAGAACACGGCTGCTTTACCTGTCACCAGGAGTCTGTACAATCGGTGCTGATGCAGGCACTCCTCTTCAGCTCCACCATCCCCAGCTCAGGCTGGCTCAGAAAATGCATTTCTCAGAGTCTGCAGTCTCTGAGATTTGCCTGTGTCCAGAGTGGGTTGAAATGTGAAAAGGACATTTTTTTCCCAATTTTTTTTGGGGTGGGGGTGGTTCAAAATTTGAAATTAAAAAAATGCTAATTGACATTTTGAAATGTTTTGAGCAGCACTACATGTGTATGCTTGGTTCATCTACCCTATCTGACGCTTTTGAGGATGGTGGAGAACCCGTTTAAAACACCTGACTGATTTCCCCCCCCCCCCCCAATTCCACATAGGAAGGAAAGAAGGGAATTGGTGTGGGAGATAGACCCCACTGCAGGTGAATGTGCCCTGGCCCCTGGAAGATATCCTCCAAGATGTTGTCAAATAATATCAAAGGAATACATTTTGAGAAGATTGCAGTCAGATATTCCACAAAGGGAAGAGGCTAAACCTATCGCATTATTCATTATGAATGATTTTTTTTCAGTTTTTTCAGAAATCAAAGTTGTTACTGGGACACTAAAAGTATCCACTCCAACACACACATGCAAGACTCCAAACTTCTTTCCCTTAAACCCACCCAGATGGGTACAATAACAAGATGACATTTAGCACTAAGATACAGCACTATCTATTGGTGGAGGTGTACCCTGCACTGATCATTACAATATTAACTGAGTCAGAAAGCAAACAACCTAAAGTAATGTATAATAAATACTACAGAGCAATTAAGTTCTCTCTCTGCTTCAGCATCACATGTAGTTAAGGAAGAAAATATCATTTACCTGCCGAAACCAAATGCTTGTTGTTAGCTTTTGATTCTGTGTATTCTGTAGGGGGGAAAATAAAATCAAATGTTTAACAAATTACATAACTGACTCAATGGATCGTAAAGAGACATGACAACTTAAAAATCACACTGCTCTCAGAACGAGTAGGCTCTGCTGTACCCATTGGTGTTACACATAACATCTAAGGTTGCTCTAGACGAAAGAAATTAAATAAGTATTATTCATTATTTCTTTAGTGTGATGTTTTGTACATTTTTCCCATTGAGAGTCTTTGGGGTTTTGTACCATAATCCATTAGGTGCTTTTGAAAATCTCTCCCACTCTTTGTATATCATCAATTTCAAAAATGTCCTGTCTATAATCAGGTAGATCCTGCAATCACCTGCTCCCAGCTGTAATATCTGCGACAGGAATAGTCCCATTGGCTTTCACAGGGTTACTCACTGTTCTAAGCGATGTGCCTGGTAACAGCTGTTCGCAAGAATGGGACCTGAGTTAGTGAGCTTCTCCAGTGCTTTGCATGAGGCTTTCATGCAGTAAAATGGGATAGAAGAACATTTATGAAATAGGAAAAGATGGTGTGTAGGAATAGATAATATCCCTTTAAATAGCTTGTGAGCCCTCCAGTAGTGCTCAGTGTGTTCTGTGTTTTAGAAGCCATCAAAACCAGCCCTGTGTATACAAGTTTGTGTATATTTAGTAACCACCTTTCTTTTGGACTCAGTTGTGCTCCTGTGATTCCTTCATATTATTTTTGTTGTGTGAAGAGCTAAAGAAACAACAGAAATTGTGATTGTAAAATCACCAGGCCTGCCAGGGGGAGCTCATGGAAGACTTTCAACTCATTTTTTTTTAAACTGACTAGATTTCAATTTGATTGCATCCCTTTACGTTTCTCTCTGATAAAACCAGGCCATAGAGAAGGATCCTGAGGTTTGTTTGGCCATCACCTCACTTCACGTCAGCCTGCGGCTCCCATTTGTTGTTCATCTGTGTCTGTGCAATCCTCACTACAGTAAATTATCTTTGATAAAATAGTACTTTGGCTGCACTTGACACACTAAATGAATCATCAGTCTCTCTCTTGCACCCTAATTAGCTACTGTGACATTAATCAGGCTGCTAAGCATAATACCATATTCTCAGCAAATCCAGGGCTAAAAATATGAGGCTGAGCTTGTATTTGTAATCAGGATATTCATAATTTTTCAAAGGGAGTTGTCTCAGCTGCTACAGGCAGCCACTTATGTTAAATCTTTGTGCGTGTGGATTTTCCTGCTCATAAAACAGAAGTGTGACCTCAAGCTAGGTGTATTTTTTATGACATATAGAAATTCCCTCCCTTTGTTATGATTCAGCATATTTTATTTTTCCTCTTCATTACTCGCACGGTTCAAGTTGGGCACGTACATAATTGTTTGTAGGATCAAGGCCGTATTAATTCTTGAGGCAAAAGGTTTTCTCAAATTACTAGTATCTTGGGATGGAGCAAAAGCACAAGTTGAAGAAAGAAGGCTCCTTTGGAATACAGGAGATCAAATTTCTCCCAAAAGAGATGGAAGAAAGACACTAGTTGTTAATGAAGTGTGACTCCCATCTTGATGGAATATGAGAGAATAGCAGGAATGCTTTGGGTTTGCTGCGGACTCGGAGCTTGGAATTTGTATATCCATGCCATTTTGAAAGTGGATTAAGCTCATTTCCCTGGAAAAAGTAGTTTAGGAAATCATTGGAGATGAAAAAGAAACTGCAACATACTTTCCAGAATCCTTGGATCATCACACAAAAGGTTGCATTGAGAAGAAATGAGTCAGCCCTATTCAGACACCTTTGCACAAAATACGGATGACCGGTTTCTATGATGTCCTCTAGGGGGAGGCGTGCATCAGCATCCGAGACAGGGCTTGGTTCATGCATGAAAAAGAAAAAAATAATTTATAACTTTTGTTTGGCCATTTTGGCTAAATTCCTTTGTAATGGCTGAATATCCACTATGTCCTCTCCTGGGGGACTATAATCTGCCTGTCGGAAGGATGAATTCAGTGATCTAACAGGTTTTTTTCCCCACACAGTGAACGTCTATGATCCTATGAACACGTGTGATCTGTAAAAGGTGAATTCCAGGTTAGATGACCTTAGCCTAGGGGGAGCAGGCTGCCGTTTGGCTCACCTGATCAAGTTGCCTATTATGACCCATAGTAATAGTCTTATGCAGGATGGATGTCAGGCCAGTTTCAGATTTGGACAAGAGAGGGACTCAGCTAATGGTTAGTCAGCACGAGAGATTTGCTCCCACAGTTGACTTGACTTGAAGATATTGATTTTGTTGCAGAGAGCAACATTTAAAGCACCTTCAACCCTCATTCATCCTTTTTGATTACATCTTAAATCAAAATGATCAACTGCAGGATCACAGGCCCACCAAATGGGGAGCAATTGGACAACCCCATCCTTTTGTGGGTCCACTCCTTCCATCACCCCCACTAATGCTTATAGTTCTTGAGCATGCCTTCACCGTATGCCACGATGGTGCCACCACCATGGTCTAGTCCTTTTGTTCTTACCATAAAAAGCTGTTTGTTGATGGCTATCCTACACTTACTGCTAGATTCTCCATTTGGCCCTGACCGAGAGCCCAGCGTTAGAGGGGCCCGGGGTGAGCGAGGAGGAAAAATGACATCTAAGGCTAAAACTTGAATCTTTTTGTCAAGTGAAACAAGAAGTTTCTCAATGCCAGCTGGCTGGCATAATTGGTTCTCTCGTGGTATTATTCACAGCTCTTCCCTCTTTCTTTTTCAGCTACCTTCCATCTTGCTTGTTAAAAGCAAAGGATATTTTGGAGAATTGGAATTCATTAGTCTTCCTAACAGAGGGAGACTACTTAGACTTAAATTGGTGGTTAGCAAATATACAGATAATTCCCACACATTCTTATTTATTGTCTCCAGTTCGGCAGACTATAGAAACAGATGCCTGAGCGTCTGTCTGGGAGGCTCTAGTCAATGGAGTGGAATACAAAGGTATCTGGGATTCGGAATTGACGAAACTCAATATAAACAAATTGGAACTCTTCTCCGTTGACTAGATTATCTCCCTAATCAGATTTCCCCAAGGTACTCATAATAACTTGATATTCTCAGACAAGACTAGTCTTTTATGTACATGAAACAGGAGGCAAAAGATCACAATAGAAGTCAGAGGCAGTGATGAAGATGGGGTGAGAGCTCTTCACACGAAACAATGGTTGCTGAACAGTTCGTCTATTACTACATGCACCTGCTGAAGTCTCTACTGCATCAAGCCCTTTAAAGCCTACAGCTTCTTGATGACATTGGCTCTGGAGCCAAGTCTCTGATTAGATTTATCTGATAGCATGAATACGGATATTTTGAACATGCATTCGTTATAGCCAAGAAAGTAGAGAAGACCCTGACTTAAATACTACTGTTCTCCTCCTGGTCTGGTGTAATCACTTCACCCAAACCCCGCTAGCTGGCATCTAATGGAGTGAAGATGATGAATTCAGAAAGTGAAAGCTTTGCCTGCATACTATATAATTCACCACTTCCTACTGTGTACAAAAGATAACGAGGGACTCATTACAGTTAAGATGGATAAAAGCAAAACCCTGCTAGAGCTGCCGTTAGAGCCTCTTTTAGTTACTGTAACAAAAAAGGCATTTTCCAACTCTGCTCTCTCCCATTTTCTCCTTGTACAAGGATGATGGAAGGTCCAAGGCAGGAGGAAGTAGATTCTGATGTGCTAGACACCTCCAGAAAATATGTGCCTCACTCCCTTGATCTACACCCAAACTTTGGATCTTTATGTGCTCTGAAATGCAATCTCGGAGCACCAGGAAGGAATTAAACAGCTGCAATATAAGAGGTAATTACAGTGCTTGTAGTTATTTGTTAATTCATGTAGCATATTTCATATAATTAATACTGTGCCCACACTCTGCCTATGTTAATACACTTGCCTGCTCCTCAAATACATTTCAGCAGCTTCCAGAATATCAAAGTGGCTCAGGTAGTCTGAGGAGGCAGTTTGATTGCACAGAGCTTCTGACTGTGCTTAAACAGACACTGCCAAAATTAAAATTCATATTTTAATATTTCCCCCGATCGGTGCTATTAAGAACATTTTTAGCTTGTTAAAAAGGGAAGAATTCTATACGTCTAATTTAAATCACACTGGCTATTTTTGTGGTTTCTTTTACTACTTGTGTTTCATTCCAGTTGGACGGTGTCTTTGGGTTGCTCAATTTTACTTTGCTTATAGTCAAGTTTCTTCCGGGGATATTGCAGGAAATTGTCACGTGTGTTCAACTCCATTCCCAATGAACCAGCCCATACACCTTCCATAACAGGGAACGTGGTGCAATTATTTCCCCTGTGCTCTGCTTCTGAAATACCAGGGGCTTATATCCTGTGAATATTGAGTTTGATCCCTGCAATGGTATTAATAGTACCCAGGGAATATCTACACATAAGATCAGTAGACCCTGAAATACCAGTGGAAGCAAGTGATTCAGTGACTTCCACATCCTATGCCAGTAATAGACAAGCGCTGGGATTCTCTGATCTGGTCTGGCAGCGGAGGTTTCTTAAGGGAAAAGGCATAGAGCATCTGTTGCTCTCTCACTGGCACTGTGCACTTATATGTAACGCATGTAGCACGTTGGGGCTCATTCTATCCATTCTTTTCCGCCCTTTCCAAATTCCCTGTAACTTGGGTCTTAAGTTTCTGAACTCTCCCCCATCTGTATCTGTTCATCATTTTCTGATACCCCAACACACCGAATTTTCTCCAAAAGCACCAAAGCCCTTAAGCCAATGTTTATTACATGGTAGCCCGTCTGCTCTGAGCTCTTGGTTAGAATGTCCCTTCCTGGTTCTCTTAACTTAGCACAAAGCTGTTTGAATGTGGGTTTCCAGAACTGCAAGGGAAGCTTTAAAACTGGGATTTGCAATGTAGCTTAAGGGAGTTAACACCCAAATCCCATTCAACTTGGATACTGGACTCCTTTAGGCTGTTTGGTAAATCCTAGGCCTCAGTCCCTCAAAGCTGTTCTCGTTGAAACTGATCAAAATAGAGGATTTACAAACGTCTGTCTGTATTTGTATCTGTCTGTCCAACCTTTTGCAAAACAACCTATTGTTAAAAAATATTTCTTCACTGAACTGAGTTGTCAAGGATTATTTATACTTATTCTCAGCCTGAATTAAATCAAATGGGTCACTTTAAAAACTTCTTTCTAGCATTTTGAAATTCCAGAAAGTCTTATTTAAAAGGAGCAGGAGCAAAGTGGTTTGTCGATAAACAGACGGCTCCTTCTGCTGAAAAGCATCATGCACAGCCACTGGCATCCATTCAACTCCAATCTCCAACTAGCAGATTCTACTGTATTATGAACAGCGGGACACGGGTTGTAAATCAGCTTGAGATTCTGTTTACCACATCCAGCACTGCATGGACAAAGAGGTCAAGGTAAACGGTAGTGGCCTTTGACCAGTTTCTGACAGGTCTCACTCCCTTGCTGTAATTCAGTAAAAGGTGCCTGGTCAGACGATGCAAAGTAGAATTTCTGGGCCGCTGAGCATCTGTGTTTGAGCTTCCTGAAAAACAAATGAATTTGTGTAATTAGACCTGGCAGGTAGAAGAGGAAAAGTTGTTAGCTCGTTGTTGCTGAGGCTGGGTTTATTTTTGTATGGGCTGATTCATTGGGAACGGGGGGGAAATCCAGCTTGTGTCCTGCGACAGGACTCCATGGCCCTCTGAGCAATACAGGGGGAGGTAAAGGAGAAATGAAGACCAGCAATTGGAAGTGACACATTTCTGAGTGTTCCCTCTGAAATGCAAAACGATATTTTGCTCACGAGCTTCGCCAGACCTTGGGGAGCACAGCCTCACCAACTCATTGGGCTGAAGCAAATTGCCAATGCGCGTGAATGAAATCTAATCTGCGGTGTCCTGCGCATGCAGTTGCCTGAGCACTCAGTGCTTTTGATGGCTGTTTTGATGAGCTGCTGAAGGTACGAGAGATCCAGCAGGAAACTATAAATGAGATCTCCTTTCCCCGCACACCAGGCCTGCTCATACCCAATCCTTGATGAAGCATGTGGTGTCACTAGCCGCCAGAGGCGGCAATTTCTATGATTTATCAATGTCACTGAGAACAAAATGCTAGAGACTATGCTGTAGGTGCCCTGGCGTGAGTCGTGGAATAGTCACCTTCGATCGCATCAGAGCTGTAAGCCAAATGAGCATTTCGTTCTCTAGCTACGCTCTCAGGAGCAGCCTCCTCTGTTCAGCACCCCGGGAGGGCCCTCCCCCCAGCTCCATTTTCAGGGCAGTTTTCAGAAACTGTAATTTAAATAAGAGCAGCGTGTAAGATCCCAGCTGAGACCCCTTCCCCGTGGTTCCTGCCAGCTCAGCCAGGGGGATAGGTCTCCCAGCTGAGACCAACTCCCTGCAGCTCCTACTGGTTCAGGTCGGGAGGGGACAACTCCAGCCTGAGTCCCTTTCAGTACAGTTCCTAGCGGTGCAGTCCAAGGGATGTTCCCTTTGGGCTCAGCAAGTGGAGATGCTGCATATTGACCACAAGGATCTCCTTTTGGGTCTGGGCTTTAGAATGCCCATGCAATGAGCACAGCTGCCTGATGAGGGACCCCACTTTTTGGTTAAGTCAGCGCCAGCATTTAGATCCTGGAGATAAAGTTACTCTAAATATTACCTACTGTGAACTGGGATCCCTTCTCCCCTGGCCAGCAGAACCTGTGATGCAACCAGGACATTCACTGATACATTCTGGGATACAGCGGGCCAGATTCTCAGCTGGTTTAAATTGGTGTAGCTCCATTGCAGACAACAGGGCTTTGCCAATTTACATCTGGTAAGAATCTGGTCCAGCCCATTTCAATGTGGGGGTCTTCCTGTGCAATCTCCCATTGCTTGTCTTTACTTCTGTCCAGCTGATGAAGACTGGACGTAACTCCTTGCAGTCCTTAGCAATGATCTTCCAAGTGCTTGCTAGAGGGGGCACTGGACAGTGACATGAAACAGAGTGATCCCTCCAGGAGCTGATATTGCTTCTTACACAGGCCCAGAGACTAAGATAGCCCCAGGGGCTGAGTTCTTCCAGCTGAAGATACTGTCATCAGCTGCCCAGCCTCGGGAGGGAGCTTAGAAATTGCCAGACCAGAGTAGACTCATCCATCTAATCCAGCATCCAGTCTCCAACAGTGCCAGCACCAGCTGCTTCAGAGGAAGGTAAGGGTTAGGTAGATGTGTGATCATCTGCCCTCCATAAAAGTCCCATCCTTATCCTTAATAACTAGAGATTGGATTAAACCCTGCAGCATGAGATTTTATCTCCCATCCAATACGCTTCATTGTTAGTATAAATGATTCTAACTCTGGATATTCTTGTTAGCCACCAAATAGTCCAATCTCTCTTTCGATCTTACTACATTCTTTGCTTCCATGACATCATGGGGCAATGAGTTCCACAGACTAATAACACAGCAAGTGGAAAAAATATGATATTTTATCCATTTTGAAGCAGAGAAAGCACCTTCAGGACTCACTCTCCCTCCCCCACCCCACCCCACATTTAATCTTTCAGAAAACAGACCCAATAAGAAGGTTGGGTGCTTATTTAGAAATATAAATTGCAAAATAATTGCACTTTTGTTATGAAAGCGAATTAGCCAGAAGAGGATTAATTACGGCAGAGACACATTCAGAATGTAAGTGACCATTAATTAACACTAAATTATTCCTCTGAGAGCTAATGTGACATTCACATGAGCGTTAAACCAATCCCAGGTCAGCACTGTCTCAACAGACACAGAAAGAATCCATCAAGAATGGCTCAACAAGGATTTTCCCTGTGACTTCTCAGGGCGTAGTAATATAATGTAATAATTCACACTGCTTATGATCATTAGGAAGGGTCACCTGGAACTGGAACATCTCTGTATCATTGTGAGTGGCGAGTGGGGGGTGGATGTGAACGGAAACAGGCTGGAAATAAGCTTGTTTTCTATTCCATCCCATCACCTGTGGATACTTTAGTTAATCAGTGTTGTCTGTGTGTATCTCATGGTTTTTGGCCCAGATCCACAAGGTATTTAGGCTCCTAACTTCCATTTAAATCAATTTAGCACAGCTTGGAGTTGCACACAGTATTCTGGGAGAGGCTAGTCCCAATGTGATGCTGCATACAGCATGGATGTAGCATAGATTCTGATGGGGTGGGGAGGCAGCTGAGCTCTCTCATACAGATCAGGACATTCCTACAAGGTGCACAGCCCTGATCAAGGAAATCACATGCTTAAGTCTCATTGATTTCCAGGCCAAAGGGGCAGATTTTTAAAAGTGCTTACGTGCCTAACATCCATTAATTTCAATTGGTGTAGGGGGCCTAAATATCTTTTAAAATCTGGCCCAAAGTCCTCAGCAGCTTGCAGAATTGGACTCATCAGGAATGAGTGAGCGTGCAGTGCTTGCTCTTCAATGACACACACGCACACCTTTTTCATTGCCCTGCCTTAGGTTAGCTCTCTCTGGACCACACAACAGTAGGTGGAGGTTAATGTCTGTCTGAATGGGATGTGATTTCCATGAAATTACAGTCCCCGTCTTCATTAACCCTGCACGAGTTCATCAGATTTAGTGAGTACAGTGCATGCCACAGGTCTTGTTGCATAATTTCACAACCACAATGATCAGCCCCTGGAAACATTTGGATACTGCCAAATCCTCAAACCAACACAAAAATACTGCACAGACAAGGAGCAGAAGAATTAGTGAAATACAAGACCTACTCTGACAACAGCCGCCAAAGCACCCTCCCTGCCCACACAGATTGCACTGGTTTTCAGGTGACCCCTGACGACAAAATCAAGAAGGAAGAAAACTCTAGTGTGACACGTGAGAAGCGCAGTCTGATACACGCAGATACACAAGGAATTTCTGTAGATCTCTGCCACTGCCGTGAAGGGAGGAAACTGAGTCAACCCCTCTCCTGCCACAGAGGCAGCAAAGTCAGGTCCTGTAGAATTCTTCCAGACTAAATGGATTCTGAAACCTACGCTGCCTCTTCTCGACCCTACAGGCCAGTGCCTCTCACTGCAAGGACCTATCTTCTGGCTTCATAGAGCAATGAGACACCTGGGTTTGAGCCTCATCTCTGCCATGCTTTCGCTGTGTGACCTTGGGCAAGTCACTTCATCTCTTTTGGGCCTCGGTTTCCCCATTGTAAAATGGAGCTAATGATACTTGCCTTGTATCTCTCCATCTGCCTGTCAATATTATGCTTATAGCTATGTTATCTGAGTTCATGGGGCGTTTGTAAAGTGACTTGAGATCCTCAGAGGGGCGGTTATTAGTTGTCCCCTCTCTCTCTCTCTCTCTAATAAGACATGCACTGTGTATAAGTTGTAAACTCAAAGGGAACCTGCACAACATCAGAAGGCAAAATCTCTCTGCAGGTTCCATGGGGAAAGGTCTACTCGATGGAGTTATTGACAGCACTAAAAATGATCAATTGTAGGATGCCTGCTTTGAGTCAGGGTTCTAAGACTCTGCGCCCACCTCTCACCATTGTGGCAATGAATGAACGTGATGCCACTGGCCTGCATTCCAACCCCAATTATGGAAACATTATGGACTGAAACTGAAGTGAGTCCCATTTGCAGCCCTGCACGGAGGTGGGATTCCAGCACAATCAGGATTCCTGACCTTAGCAAAGTCTCCCGTTCAACTGTCAGAAGAAATATTAAAACCAAAATGAAACTCGTGTCTTATTTACAAAGAGATCTAAAAGAAGCGGCTGCTTTGTGCACAGGCTTGGTTCAGCTCTGTGGGAAACTGATGATAAATAGTTAAAAAAACACATGGGGACTTCTCAGTGAAATGAATATCATTAAAAGTGAGATGTCTGTTTTCCCTGAATTTTAACAAGACCCGTACAAACCTCCCAGCCTGAAAAACTGGTGATGAACTTTACATAGAAAATAAGGTACTGACCCACTACATTTTTGGACTCTTTCTTTTCTATGTTACATACTGTAGACAGTCGCTGCTACATGCATCACAAGAGACTTCTCTGCATCATACATGTCCTAGCACACTGTAGATCTCTGAGACTTTGGTAGCTTACCCCTTGAAAGCACTGGCATTTTCTAGACTCCTAGTCAGATGAACGCTTGCAAAGATCTTGCTCATCTTAATTATATCACAAAATTGGACCAGCCAGAGAGGAAGCAGCACCCTTGGGTCACCTATTCATTGCATGCTGTCAGGGTTAGCACAAGATGATCCCCTATAGTATATATTCTAGTCTAATTATATAGGTAGGGAGTACATACTGTGTGTGTGTGTGTATGTATGTGTATATATATATATATATATATATATAAATCCTACACAGTGTTTGCAGGCATGGGTTATAGCATCGGTCTTATCAAATAAACTTACCTGAGACTAAGAGATTAAGGAGGAAGAGGGACATGAAAACAGCTGCCATCTCATCATCTGCAGCGTCTGGCTTTGTCCAGCGCTCCCACCATTAGAGGCTTTCTTAAGTGAAGGTTAACAGTGTCTCTCTACCGGGCTCCGTTCCCCACTACAACGTCACTCTCTCTAAAACATCCAACAGGGGCCGAGGCGAACGCAGCCGTTACCTGAACGTTTCTGGGCTCTCTGCTAGCTCTGAAATATCCCAGCCCCTTCTGATCTGGAATCGGATTATAGGCAGCATTTTAATTTCATTGACATTCTAGCGCTAAGTGAATAATGGAATCCGAGGCTGGTCCCCAGGAGAGGAAATACCATGCTAATATGATTTCCTTTAGTGCTCTTACCTGAGGCTGTGCCTGTCGCTGACTTACAGCATGCTAATTCCATTAATAATTGAGGCCCAAATAGCTGCTTTAAATCAGACTTGTGCAGCGGCGTCTTCAGCATTTGACAATAGTTACTGCACTCTTGAATTACCCTGGATAATGGAAACCTGCTATTGTTTAATGAAGAACAATCGCTAACAGTGCAGGGGGGGGAAATCCTGTCTGCTTTTTGTCTTTCCTGACTCTTTAATTAAAAGATGTATTACACTGTGATTAATGGGAGTGCCTGGGTAGCGGTTTATTTGGCACATTTCAGAAGGGGAACGGGACACTCCCTGACAGCAGGATTATTTCAAAGGCTGTTCAGGTCCCTTTTGAATTGGCATCTGCAAATAAAAAGGGGATTAAGTGCCATGAATGCACTTGCTCTCTGTCCGGGTTTATGGTAGAAATGGGCCTGGATCCAAACACCCCTTTAACTTTGCAGCTTGGGCCCATTGCTGAGGTTTATGCTGCTGGTTAAATCAAGGAAAGGACACTGTCCAGGCAGCTGGGGTGTCTCTGATGATGGTGTCAACCCAAATGGAAGTAGAGCTCCTAGTTCTGGCAGTGGAGTTTCCCCTGGATAGTGGGAGACATGTTTCCAGTGCTGGTTTGTATCCCCATGGGCCACCACTGCAATGACAGAATATGCCTTCTTTCTAAACAGCTCTTTGTTCTCTATGAACCATGTATGTATCAGTCCAGCAACTCTGAGGAATCCACCTGACCCTTCCTCTTGTTTGGTACATGCCCTGCTACCCCAGAGCTAGGTCAGGGCATCTTCTGAAAGGTAAAAACGTAAGAACTGCCATACTGGGTCAGACCAAAGGTCCATCTAGCTCAGTATCCTGTCTGCCGACAGTGGCCATTGCCAGGTGCCCCAGAGGGAATGAACAGAACAGAAAATCAAGTGTTCCATCTCCTGTCGCTCATTCCCAGCTTCTGGCAAACAGAGGCTAGGGATACATTGTGTGAAGAAATACTTCCTTTTGTTTGTTTTAAACCTGCTGCCTATTAATTTCATTTGGTGGCCCCTAGTTCTTGTGTTATGAGAAGGAGTAAATAACACTTCCTTATTTGCTTTCTCCACACCAGTCGTGATTTTATAGACCTCTATCATATCCCCACCTTAGTCGTCTCTTTCCCAAGATGAAAAGTCCCAATCCTATTAATCTCTGCTCATACAGCAGCCGTTTCATACCCCTCATCATTTTTGTTGCCCTTTTCTGAACCTTTTCCAAGTCCAATACATCTTTTTGTGAGATGGGGCAACCACATCTGCAAGCAGTATTCAAGATGTTGGGTGTACCATAGAGGCAATATGATATTTTCTGTCTTATTATCTATCCCTTTCTTAATGATGTCCAACATTCTGTTGGCTTTTTTGACTGCCGCTGCACACTGAGTGGATGTTTTCAGAGAACTATCCGCAATGATGCCAAGTTCTCTTTCTTGAGTGGTAACAGCTAATTTAGACCCCATCACTTTATATGTACAGTTGGGATTATGTTTTCCAGTGTGCATTGCTTTGAATTTATCAACATTAAATTTCATCTGCCATTTTGTTGCCCATTTACCTAGTTTTGAGTGATCCTTTTGTAGCTCTTTGCAGTCTGCCTGGGACTTAACTATCTTGAGTAGTTTTGTATCATCTGCAAATTTTGCCACCTCGCTGTTTACCCCTTTTTTCAGATCATTTATGAGTATGTTGAATAGGACTGGTCCCAGTACAGACCCATGGGGGACACCACTATTTACTTCTCTGTTCTGAAAACTGAAATGGGAAAGGCCTCCTTTCTGTCTCCCCAAGAGATAGCTGAGTTCACCAGTGTCTGATAATTTACCAGGATGGCACACTCAGACAGGATAGATGTCTGTTCCATTGCTCTCTGTTCAGACACACCAGCCTCTCCCTCTTTCTCCACTCCCCCTCTTCTTCAGGATCACCAAAGAATCACAGGTTCATCGCATCATCACTGATCTGCGAACTCTCTCCTCCGGTGTGTCCAGCTCCCAGTCACTCTGTTTCGGATGCCGATCGTCACCAGGCAAAGGTGAGAGCGGGTGTATATGAGGGACTGAATATACCTGCATGAATGGATGTGTGCAATATTTCTGTACACAGAAACCTTCTCCGGGTATGTCTACACTCCAGTAAAAGACCCACAGCCTGGCTGCAGCTGACTCAGGCTTGGGCTGCTGGGCTGTAAAATAGCAGTGTCAATGTTTGGGCTCGGGCTGGAGCCTGGGCTCTGAGACTCTGCGAGCTGGGGTGAGTCTGAGCCTACGCTCCAGCCTGAGCCCAAACCTCTACATGACTATTTCTATCCCTGAAACCTGAGCCCGCTAAGCCTGAGTCAGCTGCCCTGAGTTTGGAGACTCAGTGCGGGGTGTTTTTATTGCAGTGTAGGCATACGCTTATAGGCCCAAATCCTGCAGTCCTTACTTTGGAAAAACTTCCACTGAAACCCCTCCCAGTGAAGTCCATGGAGGATTTCCCTGAGGAAGGGTGGCAAGGTTTGACTGAAAGTGCAGGCATTTTGATCAGAGTACAGTACCATTTTAAGTCCAGGTTCTCTTCGATCTATTCCACAGAGTGTCACTAGATATGTATTCATTCTAGGGCTAAGCTGAGATCTACCCAGAGATACATAGAAAGCCTCTTGTCTGCCCTTCTTTAGTATGTTCTCTTGACCATCTGCCTGTCACCAGATGGTCATTGTTAATGATTTACAATCCATCACAACCTTCATTAACTAAAGTACCGTCAGCCTCGGGATCCCCGGCATTATTATTCTTAGCAGGTAGACAATTGCTGCTAGAACATATGTAGCTTTTTGGTGACATTGATACCAAGGCAGTTTAGTGGATGCTAATCCCACTCTGTCCATCCTTCTGGAATACACCATGTGAGCTTGCCTTCCTCTTCTGCAGTCATTTGAGTCTGCAGTTCTCTTCCCTCCATGCAGCCTCTCTCTAAGTCGGTTGATGTCTCTGTTAGTCATCAAATTGATGCATGTGTGTTTTATGAAGGTTCTTCTTCTGGATTCCTTCTTTAAATCCATCCTCCCTAACTACAGAACAGTCCTCTCCGCCACTGACCTTGGCTGTGATGGGGGCAGATCTGCCCACCCACCACATAATTCTCCTGTGATCAGTTTTCTCTGTATTTCTCTGGCTGGATTAAGAAGGGGGAAAGGAAAGGTTTTGTCTATGGTAGACAAATTCAGGAAAAGGGTCTGCTTAGCTTTGGAAAATAGCAACTCTAGACATATTCTCAGAGATTCTGCAAGAATCTGGAGAGGGCATTACATGGAGTCACTATTGCATGCTGAGGATGGGGGGAACTGGAGTAGGTGTCTGGAAGGGCCTCTTCTCTCTAAGCACTAAAATGGTTTTGACGGGAACTCCATAGAAAGGAGCCAATGGCCCTGATACTGTGCTGAAAGGAGAGGAAGGATGCAGCGCTGGGAGCCTGTAAGAAATGTGAGGAATTTGGTATATGTCATAGAGCAGAAGACAGGGCCTCCCAGAGGGGGGGGGCAAGTGGGGCAATTTGCCCCAGGCCCCGGAGGGGCCCCCACAAGAGTTTTCAGGGGCCCCCACAAGAGTTTTCGGCGGGTCTTTGGCGGCAGGTCCTTCAGTGCCGCCGAACACACCCGGAGCGAGTGAAGGACCCGCTGCCGAAGACCCGGAGCTTCTTCCGCTCCGGGTCTTCGGCGGCTGGTCCTTCACTCGCTCCGGGACCCACCGCCAAAGTGCCCCAAAGACCCGGAGCGGAAGGACCCCCGCCGCTGAAGACCCCGGGCGGCCCTGGCAGAAGAATGGGATTCACTGGGATCTGCCTGCTGTCCTGTGTTCCTTTCCTATTCTTTGCTTCCCTAGATGGCTGGACAGACTGGGGTATGTGTCCTTAGTCACTTGATGTCACCTGCTGGTTGACACAAGAGCAGCAAGGTTAAATTGTTCATCCTCTTCTACACCCAAACTACTTCAGATTAGTTCTGTCATCTTGGTTTTGTTTTCTGACACACTCCACCCCCCGCCCAGACCCATCTTCCTTCTCTTGCCCTCCAGGTTGAACCTTGAGGTCATCCTGTTCCCCTTGCTTTGGAGAGCTGGCTCAGCTTTCTCCAAAGCATGTCAGCATCGCTCCTGAGCTGACTGGCTGCAGAGCTGCAAGATGCATCCCACCCCACCCCCAAGGGCTAAGCATTCCTGTTCCTGGAAGGATGGGACGAGAGAGGCCAGCAGAGATCTGCTGAGGTGGGATGCTGGGGAGCTTCCCAAGAGACACTGAGTGTGTTGCCTCATGGGGAGACAGTGTCACTGTCTTAGACACTCCAGCAGTGGGAACTTCGGAAACACCAGATGCACAGAGTACATCCACACTGCATTGAAACACCTGCAGCAGACCTGGGCCCGCTGACTCAGGCTCATGGGGCGTGGGTTGCGGGGCTAAAAATTGCAGTGTAGATGCTCAAGGTTGGGCCTGAAGCCTGAGCTCTGGGCCCCACCCATCCTTCATGGGGTCCCACAGCCTGGGCTCCAGACCAAGCCCCGTACATCTACACTGATTTTTAGCCCAGGCCAGCCATAATCATGCTACAGGTCTTTTATTGCAGTGTAGACATACTGA